TTCATGCTTCTTCTACAAAATAAAATAAAATAAGTAAGAACTCTTCCCTAGTGTGGGTGCCTATAACCTACCCTCTTCCTGAGCACTGGAAATGCATACCTGCTGTACTCAGCCAGCCTAGAGAGCAGGATGACAAGATGCCCTACCAAGCTGGGTTCCATTTAAACACAGAAGTCAGGGTGTTCATATAAGCAAACCCCTTATCGAATCCTACTTTAAGAAAAAAAAAAAGGATTCATAGAATCATGTTATCTTAAAAACTTCCCCACCATTGGTGTGATAAATTCCAATTCATCAAAAGGCAGAGGCTCTCTCCTAATGTCACAGAAGTGCCCTGCATCATCAAATCAAAGAGGGTTTGTCCCCAACAGTCAAAACTAATGATTTAAGTTCCTTTAGCCATCTCACACAATGGGGTCACCTTCTCCACAAAACACAATGGGTTTTTGTTTTTCCTTAATTTACAACATCTGAGATGCAACTGTCTTTTGCTTCTATTTTCCTTTTCCCTTCCATTTGCCTGTGATGAACAAACAGAATGCACCAAACCCTTTCTTGTGAAATGAAATTCTCTGTCTCCTTCATCATAGCCAGTGTATTATAAACATACAGCTTATGTGACATCAACGCAAAGTTTTATTGTGCCGTTAGCTTTGATAGAAAGCACTGCAGAAAGTTGTTTAGAAATTAAATATCTAAAACAAGCTATTTTAAAATCCAGGGCCTTCACTATTTCATGTCTGCAATGGAGAAATTTCATCTTGGGGAGAGCAAGCTGTCTTTCACACCATATGGCTAATGGTGGTGCATAGCAATTAGCCAGGCTGATTAATGGTGAACAGATTCTAATTTTATGCTTATAATTGAGGCTGCATTTGCACCCCTGGTGCAAATTCAGCACATCCCAACTTCCACTTACAACAGGCAAGAAATCAAGAGAAATAGGATGGTATGGAAAGTGAGAATTTTTTTCCTGAAGCCCCCTAAAGAGCATCAGATTTGCAATTTAAAAGACTGTTAGCCACACAATAGATGACAGGTTTGTGTAATGGGGTCATGGCAGCCTGGTAAACAAACAGTACCCCTTCCACATCTATAGGCAGCCAGGAAAGCCGTAATCTGTAACATTAGCAAGATGACATTTGGAATATGGCTTTTCCCTCTTAGCCACGCGGTACAAACAGCATCATTTGCCTTCAGTGGTTTGAGGATTCTATTTTTGCTATTTTTATGTTTCTGAAAAATAGAGGGAATGTCAGCAGTAAAGCACACCAACCAGCATCATAAAGCACTTTGGACCAATGAATTTTAAAAACAAGGAAAATATAAACTGCATTAATAGAGGGGAGGCCTGTGCGTGAAAGGCATAATATATCTCTAAGTAGTTCAAGAATAGAATTCTCTCCAGCATAATCCAAACATATGCAGATACAAAATGCAAATAGACGATGTACAGATAGTGCTTGGCCTGTTGGTTGAAATCCATCTTCCTGTTTCCTGTTTTGCTACAGTCCAGTGCTACATAGAGGATTCCCTCTAATGGTATGCTAATTGTAGAAGGCTAAAATAGTAGAGAAATGGTTAGGGAAGTAGGAATACAGACAAGGTCATGTTTTACTGCTTTTCAAAATGGATTTTGCTCCTTTAATTTGGAAATATTTAATTCAGCTAGATTATATCCAGTACACAGACATAGGGTAAAACTAACTATTCCCACTAATGTAAGGAATCCCACACCATTTGGGAGTGTTCTGTTACTGTTTTAACTGTGGAGAAAAAAAAAACAGCCTAGTTTTTAGAATACTTAATGAGTTTTACAAATCACTGAAGTAAAATGTGTGAAATTCTTCCATATCTTCTAACTATAAATCAGAAGTATATTTTAAAAAAAGGAAAAATGGAATTTTTAGAGACCCAAATGTTAATATTTGTGATTTCACTCAGGAAACACATGAAGCCCTTTCCATTCTATTTCCACCTGTAGAGTGTTGAGATTGTTTTTTTGGGACAGTGCATGAGCGACAGGCGAGGACTACCCATGCCGAGAAGGCAGCTGAGAATTCAACTCAGATTGGTCAATGACATTCAGCAGCCAAGCACACATTGTGCCAGGGAGAGCCTGCTCAGCTAACAAAGCAATTAGGAGCCTTCATCCGATGCGGAGTGGCATCTTCCTGCTTTATCCAATTACTTGAAAGACACAGGGAACAAAATACTGGGTTATTTTACAAAAAATAAGAGCACAAGTTAAAAGGCTGCCCCCTGCTCTTGTCCCTCTCCTATGCAGGCCTGGCTGAGGCCATGGAGGTGAGTGTGGCCTCAGATGCCACTTCAGCATGATTACAGCAGAAAGTGAAACGACTCCTATATGAGGAGCATAGATTATTAGACCTTTTAGGGATTCCTTTTTGATACCCTCCCCCAATCACAAAGCTCACTACCCCCAAGAAATATTAGCTTCATGTTCAGATATGAACAGGAAACTCAAAGACCAAATGCAAGCAGAAAAGAAAAAAAAAAGGAGATGAGTTTAAGGAGAAATGAGGCTTGGGTTATGAGGGTTATATAAAGTAGAAGAACTCAAAAGGAGGAACTATAACTTTCAAGTTGACCCAAACAGAAGACTCTGTTGACTTCAAGAGAACTCTCATTTTACTAAGCTTAAAGTTGGGTGCAAATGTCACCACTAAGCAGGCTGTATTGTATTTGACTCCACTGTGAAGGATGAGGAAGGCCACTGCTCTGTATCAAAATGCAAATCTATGTCTTCCGAGATGAAATGTAATAAATAATTAAAAAGGGCCATGATCTCTGACACTACCAAATGTATCTAAGAATTCTTTCTTCTAGATTATTTACTAAGAACAAAACAAACATATACCCAAACAATGAAAGTGATTTTGCCTGAATTTGAGATCCAAATTCATCTTTGCTTTGCAGAGAGGGAGACGGACAGAGAGAGAGAGAGAGAGAGAGAGAGAGAGAGAGAGAGAGAGAGAGAGAGATTTCTTACCTGCACATGATCTCGTGTGTGAGCAACACTCGGCACATTTCAGGGTTCTTGTCTTGGCCTTCATACACTATGGCCTGAAAGTAAAGGCATGTTTTTAGCTAAAAATAGAAGCAAGTAGCAGAGCATTATCTATAACAATCTTGTTCTTCACAGCCTTGCCCCTGCCGGGGGCCAATTAACTTATAGGAGCAAAAAGCCTCGCTGGGCTGATTTCAGGACACATTGCTTGGGATCAGCCCAAATTGAGTGGAATAGGATGCGATCCTCTCTGCCCTCTCAACCACCTCATTATGCACATCTTTGGACCAGTGCATGTGATGGGCATCTGTTGTCAAGACAACCATAATTCTCTTTCAATACAGAATAAAAATAAAGCTAATCAATAAAGACGGAAGCTTTAGAAGCCTGAAGAGGTTACAATATTTTGTATTTCAAATATAGAAAAATATGTGGGTTTGATCCCAGTAGAACACATTTGCTTCTCCACTACTCCCAGATCCCACAGTTAGAGTTCTATTGGCAAGCAGCAAAAAACAAGTTTGGGAAAAGCTAAGCAGTCTGTTCACTGACTATGTCATTTCTGAAGTGATACAGTCAGGGAAAACCCCTTTTCCTACCAAGAGGCTGAAAACATGTGCTGGTGTAGGGTGTACACCCACCCAAACAGGAACACTTGCCAGCATATGCTATGTGGGGGATGAAACCACAGTCAGCTCCCTAAATGAAGAATTCTGTCTCATTCTCAAAATCTGGACTCCTAAACCACCAGCCACGATGCTTTCAGCTCTCTCTCTCTCTCTCTCTCTCTCTCTCTCTCTCTCTCTCTCACACACACACACACACACACACACACACACAATACAATCACATTTTGCTTTAAGATACCCACCAAGCTCCCCAAAACCTCAAACTTACATGGGGTTCTATAGTTACTATTCCAGCCAAAGAAAAACCCAGTGCAATTGGTAGAAGAGTATTCTGCATCAGCATACATTTAACTCACTTAACACTGTATCACTGCATAATAGTAATATAACACAGCTTCAAATTGTTAATAAAATTACATTCACACATTCACAGAACCCTCACAGTTTCTCAGTGACAAAACTACTTAAATTAACCAAAGGTTATTCTTATTCTTATGTGGCGCATAAAAGTACTTGTGTACCTAACTTGCCATTCTCTCTCATGCACTTTGGTTCTGAACTTGAAGACAGAACCTCCATAACTTAAGACTCAGTGCAGGCAGATCTATGGGTCATGACCTGGTCACAGTATCTGAACACACTTTGCAACAGATTAAAAATTAAGGAAAAGGGCTTAGTGGAAAAAAAATCACATTTCTTTACCACTGGCCCATCAAAACTATTTTTTATGGCTAAAATATCTTAATCTTGTATTTAAAAAATAAACTGGCTTTTTCTTTAACTGTAGACTTCTAGAAAGGTTGAAAGAATATATATATTTAGAAATCCAGGGTAGGATAGTCAGTACCCAGATTCCTCAAATGTTTGCATTTTACTAAATTTGCTTCCTATTTTTCTCTTTTTCCCTAAATCACTTTTTAGCAAATTGCAGATATGGCCTCAATATATCAGCATGCATTTCCTGAAAACAAGGCATTTTCATGCATAATCACAGCACAATTATCTAAATCAGAAAATTAGCATTGATACAATAGAATAATCTAATAGCCAGACCTTATTGAGATTTACCAATTACCTAATAATGTCCTTTACAGCAAAAGAAAACCCAGTACTAATCACTGTGCTCAGCTGTCATGTCTCCTTTCATTCTAAGTATCTCCAGTCATTGTAGTTCATGGCTTTGCCATAGTTGAAAATGAGGACCAGTTACTTTGTAGAATATCCTTCTATTTGGGTTTTGTCTAGATTTCTTAAGATCATATTAGGGTCTTAGACTTCAAGGCAGGAAAACAGCACAGGGTGATGCTGAACCCTCTCTGAACTAGGTTCTATTAGCCACAAGTTTACTAGCAGCATAAACTCTGACCATTTGGTTAGGGTGATGCCCACCATCCACCAGGGACCACAGGTCAGCTTTTTGCGCTATAATCCTACATTTTACTCTATATGAGTCATTCATAACTTTTCTGGGGCAATAACTTGTATTATGCTAATGTCCTACTATGAATCAAATCTTTAGTCACTAGTTCTTCCTTTATTCTTGACATGTTTATTTATTATATTGTGGGGGGCATATGCCATTGTGCGCACGTGTGCGTGTGCGTGTGCGTGTGCGTGTGCGTGTGCGTGTGCG